TAGGCGCTACTCTCGGTGGAATCATACGTGCCAACTCTTTAGAGCATTTTCCGTGATAGTACCTGTAGAAGAGAGATAAATCGCCCACAGATCTGCGATTTTCGAGACCATCCAAGTTACGAGTAAGTGCGGGGTCATTGATCAGCTTGATAGCTCGTTTTTGCACGGTGTTCAAAAGCATCAAGGTATGTTTGGGTGCTGCACTCCATATATGTGAGCAGTACTCCATAGTTGGTCGAATCTGGGCTTTGTAGAGTGTCAGCAATTGGCTTGGTGTGTACAGATGTCCTGTACGAAATAGCACCCCCAGCTTTTGGGACGCCCTTTTAGCAATATCTGCCACGTGATTGTGCTAAGACATGTTGGTCTCTGCAGTAACCCCCAAGATGTTCAACTGACTCTGTAATGTGACAGCACTTCCAGATAGCATGATGTTTGGCTCACCGGTGCTGTTCTTTTTTGAAAACAGAGCTGCTTGAGTTTTCTGTGCGTTGAACTGTACAAGGTTTTTGTTACCCCAGTCCTCTATTATCTCCAGGTCGTTATTTATCTGCGATATTTGAGTTAGTCTAAGATGATGGAATTCACGTGCGGAAAGACCTGTGGGTGGTATGAGTGAGGAGACTACATTGCCATCGTCTGCAAAACAATAAAGTGGATTTACTGTTTTATCTATGAGGTCATTTATGTAAATCAGAAAAAGAGTTGGCGAAAGGATTGCTCCCTGTGGCACACCAGCATTTATTTGGTAAGAGTTGGAGTTCTGGCCATCCAGTGCAACATAAATGGATCTGTCCTTTAGGTAACTTTTCAAACCAAGTGCAAAGTTTCGGCGATAATCCCATTGCTTTGAGCTTGTTGAGCAGATTTTCATGCCAAACTTTGTCGAATGCTTTAGATATATCTAAGGCAATTGTTCTTGTTCCACCCCGCAACTCAATCGCTTTTTGCCATAAGTGAGTGACGTATGTAAGTAAATCGCCAGTTGACCTATATTTTCGAAATCCGTATTGCTTATCGTTGATAATTTTGTACTTTTCCAAGAACTTGGTTAGGTGATTGTTCACAACTCTTTCCATTACTTTTGATATCACCGGAAGTAGAGCAATTGGTCTATAGTTTAACGGATCTGTCTTTTTTCCTTTCTTTGGAATGGGTTGTACTGCGGCAGACTTCCATGATGATGGATATACTCCTTGCCTGTAAGACAAATTGAATAATTTTGCGAAAGTTGGGGTGAGTTCGTTGGCGCAATTTTTGAGTAATATTGCGGGAATGCCATCCGGACCCATTGCTTTGTTTGTATCTAGCTTTTTAAGGGATTTTCGTATTTCTCTGTGACAAAAGGGTACCTCTGGCATACTATGGGAAACTCTTTCAATGAACGGTGGAGTTTTTCCGTTTGGCACTGTTAGGTTGGAGTTGGAGGAAAACATTTGGGCCAGCATATTGGCTTTTTCCTCTGATGTTGTGGCTAAGTGATTATTTTTATCTGTAAGTGGTGGTATGGATGACTTGGTGAAGTTAGATCCAACAGCTTTTGCAAGAGACCAAAAGGACCTAGAACTACTTGGACAATTCAGCAACCTGTTTTTTATTCTTTGATTGTATGTTTCTTTAGCGGAGTCAATAGTAATTTTGCAACTATTTCAGGCTTCTATAAATTCTGTGTGGTTTTGAGCGGTTTGTTGTCGTTTCCAAAGGTTATATGCTCTGTGTTTTTTCTGTACAGCCGTTTGACACTGGCTGTTGCACCAAGGTTTTGCATTAGCTCTACGTTTAGTTGTATGTGGGATATAGGCATCCATTCCAGATAAGATTACTTGTGTTATTTCATTACAGCAAATAGTGGGATCAGCTGTTTTAAAGCAAACCTCTTGCCATGGAAAATCCAGGTAAAACTGTTTTAGTTCATTCCATTTTGCCGATTTATAGTGCCACATTTTACGAGGAAGTGGTTGTTGGCTTGGTGGGATGAGCATGTCGCGTTTTGTTATTATAAGTTTATGATCGGACGAACCAAGTGGAGCATCTACTTGAATTGTGTACGAGTCAGGATTTGTGGTTAGGAACAAGTCTAAAAGCGCTGCAAATTCGCCCCTCGACAAGCTGCGTTGGACCACAACTTATGGCAAAAGCTTCTGCTTCTCTGCCTTCGTTATCTGTTTTGTTGTGGTGTTTCAGCCAGGGTATATTGTGGACATTGAAATCGCCTAAAAAGACGATTTCCGCCTGTGGATAGTTTGACTGTATACTATCACAGCTTTCGGATAATGTCGCGAAAAAGTTTTGGTACTCGGTGTTAGATGGCGGTCGGTAGAGGCAGCAGATAAACTTGGTCGATGACTTTGAGGTGAATTTTAGCCATATGATATCAAGGTTCGCTGGTTCTAGCTTCTCCTCTCGATGACATGAAAGGTCATTTTTAATGTACACACAGATCCCAAAATTATGTCGAAATCGGTGGTGTCTTAATAATGATAAAGTTAGAAAAATCTAAAGTTAACGGTTTATGAATTATTCAGCCCTATGCAGTAAGCACATTGACTTGAAGTCAAGGTTGAAAAATACGCCATTTTACAGAAGTTTCAATAAACATTGAAATTTGGTATGCAGGATGGCTGTCAAATCAATAATTGAAATTAAGACATTTCAAGAAATTGAAATTAAGTAAGCGACCTCGTACATTTCAAGAATTGCTATGCACTAAGGGAAAACTTGAAATAAAATTACAAGTCAAGGTTGAAAAAAGTCAATATTTTTAACGTAATTAGAAACTGGCCCGGAAAGAAACTTGAAATGATGTCGAATTGAAATCATAACCTTCAAACAATTGTTTTTTAAAATCTTTTTCGTGGCTACTTGGCGTTTTGCTCCAAATATTTGTAAAAAAAAAACAAAAATGGATTTAGTTTTGTATGTTCAATTAATTGAAGATGAAATTCAGAGGTAATAGTACGTAAATTAAATTTATTATTGAGTTTATTCCTGATGTTCATTCTACTTTGGTTACCTATCTAAAATATTTGTGTATTAAAGACCTTGCTCCTTCCACATTTCAGGATAGACATACGTCCTTCTTTTGATTAATAGTTAATTTCATCTTATAGATGTTTGTTTTTTAATGATTTAAGTAAAAAAGAAAAAAATGTATAGCTAAAGATAGCAACTTTTTTTATAGGCGTGATCTCAATATACATCGAAGGCAACTGAGAGATAGAAGTGACCCGTTATCTTTACCTGAAATTACTTTCAAAGAAATTTATAGAGTATCAAGGGAATTGGGTCGGTGGTTGTTAAACCAGATTGGTCCTCATATGAGGGATTCTGAGCGAACTACGTCTATCCCCAAAGCCCTAAGGGTATTGAAATTGGTCATTTTACTTTACAGATAAATATTTGAAATATTTTAGTTTTTTGCATCAATACATTTTTTATCTGAGGGATCTTATCAGAGAGGAATAGGTCAGGATTATTTATCTAACATGCACCAAACCTCTGTTAGTCGATGTCTTTCAGAAGTAACAGACCTTATGGTGGAAGTACTCGGGTACATCATAAAATTTCCTGAAACTGAGGAAGAAAAGAATCGGGAGAAGCAATTGTAAGTTTTTAGTAATTATTTCAACTGGGTTGGAGAATATGTAGGTACCTTCATTCTAAAAAGATTTGCAAAATAATAAAGTTAAGACAAAAAATTAAACATTCCAGCTTTAACAATTTTTGGCACCACTTTAAAATACCTACCTACTTCAGAAAATCCTTACAACCTCTTATATTTAATAACATTTTTACCTGTAAAAATAGGCAAGTACCTAGCAGCTATTTCAAAAGTTATAAAGAATAAAATTACTACACTCTACATCTATTATATGTATGTATTTGTAGGTTTGTGGAAATGGGTGGATTTCCTGGAATAATAGGGTGTATTGATTGCACCCAGATAGCAATAATAGCACCCAAAACAGAAAATCCTGAAATGCCTGGGGTAATATTTTATTGCAGGAAGCAGTTCTATAGTTTAAATGTTCAGATCGTAAGTACAAATTTTCATATAGCCTTTTGTTTAGCTGTAAAAATTTTATTTGTTAATTACATTACAATTTTTAGGTTTGTAATGCGAAATTAAAAATCATGAATATCAATGCCAGGTTTCCAGGATCGGTACATGATTCGGCAATATGGCAGACGTCATTGGTTAGGCAACATTTGGCCAATAATTTTCGTCAAAATAGAAACATGACGTATTTGCTGGGTGAGCTTAAATTTTTGCATATACCTACAAAGGAATTGTCCATCTTCTCAAAGTGACTTTTTAAACTTAGAAAAATCAATAAAGTCAAGTCTCAAAAAGTATTACAAAAAAAACTACTAAGTTATTTTTTAAGTGAATAAAATCATAATTTGTAGGAGATTCGGGTTATCCTTTGGAACCATGGCTTCTAACACCGATTGCCAATCCTGTTATGAATAATGAAAGAGAATATAATCGTCGCCACAAATCACTGAGAAACACAATCGAGAGAACCAATGGTGTATTCAAACAGCGATTTAGATGCTGTCTTAAACAAAGGACATTGCACTACTCTCCGCAGAGGTCTGCTAAAATTATATATTCCTGTGCTATATTGCACAATTTGTGTATCGACCGAAATGAAATTTTAGATGATTGTAATGGTGAGTTGTAAAAATTCAGTTTTATGTTCAATGTTATCTAAGAAAATCTGATTTAAGCTGTTGCTTATGATGATCAAGAGGATCATGACGATGAGAATGAAGAGGATTTGGATCAGGTGGAAAGGAATCGTTTGCGAGAGGGACGAAATGTCAGGAACAGAGTAGTCGAAAACTATTGTTTCTAATAAATAAGTACCACCAGCTTTAGTTTCTAACTCGGTTTCTAATATATTTCTTGTATGAATAATAAAATTTGAATAAACGAAGTGAAAATTTTATTGAACATTTTTTTGTAGAAAGTTTATTACACAAATGATACATCTTTATTGTTTTATGTGTAATGCACCCATTAGATTTTCCAGTGCATCATTTAAAATGCATAAACTAATTTTTATGCAATTTAGAATTCTTTCAAATTCCCTCAGTAAAATGGGATTCAGCTCAAAAGATTCTCCTACAAAAAACTTTTAGAAAAAAAAAAATAAAACTAAAAATTTCATACCTAAACGCGTTTTGTATTTTATTCCTGTTTTTCTTGATTTGGTTTTGTATGTACACTTTTTAAACTTATTTTTTCTTTTAAAGCATAGCTCTATAATATCCGGGTGGCCATAAATTAAAATTTTTGATAGAATCTCTAACAGTTTTTTTTCCAGATTTGTTAATATTTCTATTATTGGTATTCCACCTCCAGTAAGCTCTTGCTCGAAGTGAATTCTTCTGGCTTTAGCTTTGACTTTCGTCTCCCAATCACTAAAAATCTTTCAAAATATCTTAGTATTTTAAAGAAGAGCTAGACATTCTTTTACCCTTTTCCAATTTGCAGTGGATCTTTCTGGTGCATTTTTTTCACCATTTAGCTGGTGACACAATTGTTGAAAGGCTTCTTCTTCATTTATGTGCTCAAATTTCTTGAAGTGGAGATACATTTCGTATTGCTCTACTGTAGTTTTTAGTTTTCGAATTGCTATCAATAAAACACCAGATAAAATCATTTAAAAGAATGTTTATTTAAAAAAATAACTCGAAAAATAATATCAAAAACAACTCTCAAATACTTGCAAAACGAAAATAAAAATAAATAAATCTTCTAAAATCAAAAAACTGAAAAACTATTACCCACATAATCAAATAAAATACTCCTAAATATATATAGGGGAGACCGGGGTATTGAGGCCACCTTAAGGAAAACTTGAAATATCACACAGAAATTTTGGGAAAATACATTTCTTTTTTGGATCATACTATCCATCCCTATGTTATCTATCACCAAAGAAGTCAAACAAATATTGAATTCGAAAGGATTTTATTTTTCACTTGAAAATCCAAGAAATAGGCGTTGGCCTGATTGCCCCGCTATATGGGGTAATAACGCCACGTGTGGCTTTATTGCCCCATTAATCAAATAAACACATAATACATACTTAAATTATAAGAATAACATAGGAAAGTAATGTTTTTTTTTTAAATAATGAAGTAAAATGAATCATTTACAAAAGTCGCAAACATATCGCTTAGCTCTTTCACATCCACTACAGTCTTTGTGGGCCCATTTTCCACACATAGTGCACCTAAACCAAATTTCACTTTTTCTTCCATAGTCTCCACAAACTAAACAAATTTCCTCATCAGAATCTTCATCTTCCAGGCCTTCATCGTCTAGGTGAACTTCAGCGGAACTTTCTGAAGAAGAGCTACTAAACACCTTCTTTTTTACTTGAATCACTTTCTTTTCTTTTATTTTCTTATTCTTGCATTCCTTTTTAAGCGCTTTTTCAATTAGTTCTTCTTTGTTAGGTGTTGAAGTCAATATTTTTGAAGAACCTTTTTTACGAACGGTTTTGGCTTTGTTGGTAGGTTTTTGAGGAACTGGAGTAATGTCAGCAAAGGAAATATTTAATCCGACACTGTCAGGAATAGTTAATGTTTCGTTTGAACATCCAGCAACACTGTCTGTTTTTGGAAAATCTTGTTGAGTAACCTTTCCAGTGTTCATTTCGACTTTAGATGGGCCTGGTTCCATGATATCATTTTCAGTGGGTGGCGCAGATGGATCTGTCTCCATGCTATCATCTTCAGTGGCTATTGCAAATTCAGTTTCAGCAAACACATGTGGATTTAGGGGAAATACTCCGGTACACTGGAAGCCTTTAGTTGCTTTGTCCATAGTTGCCACTCTGCCATATGCAGAACTAAATATAGAGGCAATATCATACTGTCCAACACGTTCGTACTGTTTGGTTTTTAGATGAAGGTCAATCTCAACATTCATAGCTTTTTTAAGAGGGCCAAAGAAAACAACGTCTAAAGGTTGGGTGCGGTGAGACGTGTGTGGGGGTAAAGATACCATTACAATTCCGTTGGCCTTACAGAAGTTATATGCTGCCAATGACACATGACTCGAATGATTATCGAGAACAAGGAGCACAGGTTCAGTCAACGAGCATTTCGTATTTTTTTGGAAATGTTCAAGCCATTTCACAAAAAGTTCTTCAGTTATCCAGCCTGATTTTGAACACGTGTAAATAGCATCTGGTGGTCCACCCCTTTCTAACAGTGGTGTCATTCTTTGACGTTTAAATATAAACATTGGAGGTACGTAGTATCCCGCAGCACTGAAACAACAGACGACTGTGGTGTTTGATCCACGTTCTGCACTAGAAACGAGTCCAACTTGCTTTTGCCCTTTTTTGGCTAATATTTTTACAGCATTGCCAACTGTATTGATACCTGTTTCGTCACAGTTGAATACGCGAGACGCTGAAAATTTATATTTTTCGTAAACCACGTTGAGGTTTTCAAAAAAAGTGGAAACATCTTTTTTGTTAAATCCTAGAATTCTGCTGAGACTTGTGTGTTCAGGTTTTCTTAATGAGACGTCGCCACAACGTTTTAAGAAACCAGACAACCACCCTTCACCTGCGAGTTTAGAACTTTCATTGAATTTGTTGGGAATATTATTCCTTTGGGCATATTCAAACGCGATTCTTCTTATTTGAGTGGTTGTTAGACCAAAATATAACTTGGATAAAAGTAAAACGTGATTCTTTAATTCGTTTTCTTGTGCTTCGGTAAAAACAGGATTTTTCCCCATCTTGGGACCTTGGGGTGTATCCTTTTTCAACTGGTTTCGAAGAGATGTTCTTGGAATGTTGAAAGCCTTAGCCACGCTTTTTACACTTCTTCCACTGGCTACCTGGGCACAAGCCTCTGTCATGGCTTCTTTAGTCCAGCTAGCCTTTTCCGTCAACCTCTTATAATTTCGGACCATCTAGAAACAAATAATAAAAGTACCTAATAATAAGAAAATGATATCGACAAACTAATTTTCGGTAAAATTTAAATGCAAATACTTCGTGGGGCAATGAGGCCATCCTGTGGCCTTATTGCCCCGTTTGTATTTAATAAAAAATTTATGAAAAATTCAAATAAATTTTTATTATATTATGGTATTATACCTTCAACAATATGCTAGAATACCCAAATACAACCTCCAAAAATAATTAGGCTAATATCTCTAACCAAACTACAGAAATTCTTATCTTTGTTTACAATAAACGATACATCAGAAATGTAAATAACCGACTAACCCGTCGATCATCACCAAACGATGCACACTGCAGCACGGTATTGCTAGCGGCGGGTTGTCTGCTATAAGAAAACATGGTGGACGACCTTGAGCGCGGCAATTTACGCGCGGTTTTTAAATAAACAGGGGTGGCCTCAATACCCAGGGTGGCCTCAATACCCCGGTCTCCCCTACATATATATACCCGCAGTAGCGAAAGGGTTAAAAGAGGAAATTTAAGTACTTGCTACATTATAATATCAATGCATATTATGCAAGACAAAGCAAAGAGAAATATTTTCCAATGAGGCGTCGACAACCAGACGATCCCACAAAATTGCAAAACTAAACTATGCAACTGAGCTATGAGCATCCTATAGTATGCTCATAGCTCATTTGGTCCCCCATGGCTTCAAAGAGCATCTTTTGGAGAAATTAAGTGAGCAGCTAGATGTCTAGTTTTTAGAATTTTGTGGATGGTCTCAACACCTCAAATTTACTTGTGACAAATAGAGAAAAGAAACATTTTTGTAATTTTTCTCATGAATAAAAAACTAAGTAAACTTGGCACAGATTAATTAAAAAATGGAATCTACATAATACTAATACATACAACTAATAATACTACATACATATAAACCTACAATTTAACAGAATTGGAAATACCTAAAATTTAAATATATACAGACAATACAAATACAGATAATATATTACATATTATGTTCAGTTTCATAAACAAGCTGCATGATTTTGATTTCTACTTGGCACCTTTCCCTGTAAGGCAGTCTCCTTAGGCTCTCACCTAGTCTAAGCAAGAACCCATCAACCCCATCAGATTTGTCCGAGGTTGTTAATGTTGATAAAATTTGCCTTTGAAGTTCTGTTTTGCCATCAGTTTTCATTCCTTTAAATATAGGTAAAGTTAATTCAATTCAATTACAAAAACATAGGTATTTATACATGACTTAGAAGATATTCTTACCATTCATATAAAAATAATTAGGTGCTTAATTTATTGTCTCAGAATATTTTTGCAATAAAAAATGGCTAAAATACTTTCTAGCCTTAAGAATGTTTAAAATTTATCACTTACGTTTTGCTGATGGGGTTGGCAGTGTAGGCACCACAGGCACCTCATTAACAGGAGACGTTATGGGCGTCACTACTTGGGAGTTTGCGCCACTTGTTGAAGGAAGGGGACTTGCTGCGGGATTCTGCATTGGAGACATGGTTACTGAGCACACTGTCCTGAAAATTATACATTATATATGTTCCACATTGCATTAGTTATATTTAGAACTATTTACCTTTGTGAGCTTGCCCCATCATCTATAAACTTCAGCAACTCATAATAGGAGAAGCCAGGATTAGGTGGTGCAGTGGCCTCTGAACCGCTAGGCTTGTACTCTTTCACCTTTTTCTTAGCCCTCGTGTAGCAGTCTCTCAAGTATTTCCACTTTTTCTGCAGATCTACCACTGCATATTTGCCTCCAAACAAATTTGCAATTTCACCCCAAAGGGCCATTTTCTTGGAATGCGTCCTGTCTAACAGAGGCAATCCAGGATTATATAGCGCAGGCCGTTCTTAAATATATTTAATCAGTTGTTCTTCAAATGATGTATTTGCCTGGGACCCAACAGTATCTCCCGTAGCCTTTTCAACTAAAAAATATTTTGAAAATATTACCTTTATATTTCTTACAGAGCAAATGCTTGGCTACCTAGTAGAGAATAAAGCATGGAGGTTTACAGCAGATTTGTTATTAGATCTTTGCAAAAAAGATTTTTTTTATTGTTTTGCATCTACCTATTGTGTTTTTATGAAACAAATTGAAACAGGGCTCTATTTCACAACTCACCAGTTGACACTTTTACCAAATTGCAAACGAAGGGATAATGGACATATTATTTAACAGAAGAATATTTCTTTATAGTAATCTCTATATTAATTTTAAATCAACACAAGGTTTTGAATTTTTGAAACTAAAAGAAATATACAGGGTGTCCGGAAAACAGCGTAAAAACTCTTCACTGCGTGGTGGAGGACCCTTCAGGGAACCCCAGAAAAATAATTTCAAAAATCTGGTGGCATTCTTAAGGAAGTTATTAGCATTTCGATGTTTATCGAGATGTTTATTAAAATTGGCAACACCGAAAATATCACCCAATATTTTTTCCGGACACCCTGTAAAAACTTATTGCTACTAACCAATGGTTAAAACCTTCCTGTCATCTTCCATCAAATCGTGCTCTCCCTCTATGAAAATATCTTTCAAGCACTGGTGCTCCAAAAGATCTTCGCATTGCGAATTCAGCAGG